TATATATATATATATATATATATATATGTGTGTGTGTGTGTGTGTGTTTGTTTGTGTGTGACAAGATGTCAAAGTGCGCATGCGCGTGTGTGTGTGAACTTTATTCCAACACTTCATGAGCTTCCGATCCTGAGCTATGATTAATTAATGATGAACATGTCATTTTTGTTTATGGTCGATGTCATGACGATTCTTCTGTTAAGTTGGGAGTAATTACACATTCTTATTGTTCACTTTCAAGAGCCGAGTAGTGTTATAAAAAACCTCGGGGCATTCCAGTAAAAGATATCTTTAATAACTACTACTATACAACGGTTCAAAGCTTAAACTAACGAATGAACAATTTGATTTTACACGATCTGGTAAATTCTGCTGTTACACACGGTAGACATATTTTTTAATCCTTTGCCCCCAAGCAAGGTGGAAATGCCACGAGGACGCAGGCGGTTACAACGATTGAACGGTGAAAGAGAAGACTGGGTATAGGGACGGGGGGAGAATTGAGGAAGAAAAAAAAACAAAAGATGAACGCGATTCTAAGAAGACAGAACAGAGAGGTTGACGTTTCATTTACATTTTTGAAAATTGTAGTTATCAGAAAAGCAAGGAAATGGAAGGGAGTTCCACAGCATAGAGATACGAGAAAAGAAACTGTTAAAATATAAATGGCGGTTGTATTTAGCAATTAAAAAAGTAAACGAGTGGGACATAGATAATAATAATAATAATAATAATAATAATAATAATAATAATAATAATAATAGCTGACCACTTGTATTCGCGGATATCCGTCTACTAGGGCGACTAGCCAATCCCTATTGCAGACGCCCACTTAGGCGCATTTGTGTTTGTTCATTACCAACGTAGCCAACCTGTGGTTTATACTGCAACTATGCTGAGCAAACCTTAGTTACAATTCTGAGATTGAGCTTGGAATGTAACCTGATCATCAATCTGAAAAACACCAGGCACACTCAGTCACTCGCTCACGATGACTTGCGCCTTTGTAGCTAAGGCAGCTATCGACAAAGAAAAGTATTCCTCACAAGGCTTGGGTTTATCCGTGTATGGTTTTCATACGTATATAATAATAATAATAATAATAATAATGGTGAATAATAATAATAATAAGAAGAAGAAGAAGAAGAAGAAGATGATGGTTTTAATAAGGATGGATAATAGAAAATGAAGAAGATGAGGATGAAAGAAGAAGGAAAAGGCAGAGGGATAAAGAATAATAATAATAATAATAATAATAATAATAATAATAATAATAATAATGGGAAGAAGAAGATGATGGTGAATAGGATGGAGAAGTAGAAAATGAAGAAGATGAGGATAAAGAAGAAGGAAAAGGCAGAGGTGAATAATAATAATAATAATAATAATAATAATAATAATAATAATAATAATGGGAAGAAGAAGATGATGGTGAATAGGATGGAGAAGTAGAAAATGAAGAAGATGAGGATAAAGAAGAAGGAAAAGGCAGAGGGAAATAATAATAATAATAATAATAATAATAATAATAATAATAATAATAATAATAATGGGAAGAAGAAGATGATGGTGAATAGGATGGAGAAGGAAAATGAAGAAGATAAGGATAAATAAAAAGGAAAAATAATAATAATAATAATAATAATGGGAAGAAAGAAGATGATGGTGAATAGGATGGAGAAGTAGAAAATGAAGAAGATGAGGATAAAGAAGAAAAAGGCAGAGGGGAATAATAATAATAATAATAATAATAATAATAATAATAATGGGAAGAAGAAGATGATGGTGAATAGGATGGAGAAGTAGAAAATGAAGAAGATGAGGATAAAGAAGAAGGAAAAGGCAGAGGAATAATAATAATAATGGGAATAAGAAGATGATGGTGAATAGGATGGAGAAGTAGAAACTGAAGAAGATGAGGATAAAGAAGAAGGAAAATTAAAAGAGGGGAATAATAATAATAATAATAATAATAATAATAATAATAATAATAATAATAATAATGGGAAGAAGAAGATGATGGTGAATAGGATGGAGAAGAGAAAATGAAGAAGATGAGGATAAAGAATAAAATAATAATAATAATAGGGGAATAATAATAATGGGAAGAAGAAGATGATGGTGAATAGGATGGAGAAGTAGAAAATGAAGAAGATGAGGATAAAAAGAAGAAGGAAAAGGCAGAGGAATAATAATAATAATAATAATAATAATAATAATAATAATAATAATAATAATAATGGGAAGAAGAAGATGATGGTGAATAGGATGGAGAAGTAGAAAATGAAGAAGATGAGGATAAAGAAGAAGGAAAAGGCAGAGAAATAATAATAATAATAATAAGAATAAGATAATAATGGGTGAATAGGATGGAGAAGTAGAGACTGAAGAAGATGAGGATAAAGAAGAAGGAAAAGGCAGAGGTGAATAATAATAATAATAATAATAATAATAATAATAATAATGGGAAGAAGAAGATGATGGTGAATAGGATGGAGAAGTAGAAAATGAAGAAGATGAGGATAAAGAAGAAGGAAAAGGCAGAGGGAATAATAATAATAATAATAATAATAATAATAAGAAATAACAATAATAATAATAAAACAAAATTTTTTGTTCAAGTGGTAGTATGGATTTCTTTCCAATAAAGAAGAAATATGTCTGTTTTGGGAAAAAATAGATGTTAACAGTTTGTATGTTGTTGGAAGGACAATAATTGAATAATAATTTTCGGAATATTAATCACTATTTTAATAGAATAAAAAAGAAGTAAAGATGATGGAATGAGTCATAACAACTTTGGACTCCTCAGAAAATTTTATTTTGAGGATAAATTTACGGAATGGATCTAGCTGGAAATTTAAGGACCATCATTAGGATTATCCTGGTTGTCTGGGAAAAATAAACA